ATTTTGTTTATTCTCTGGAATAACCGGCTCTGGGATCTATTCATTCTTTATATTGTCTTTTTAGCTTCAGTTTTACTATTTTCTGCTCTGATCTTTGTTTTCCCTCCTTGGACTAGGTTTGGGTTTGGACTGTTCTCCTTATTCCTGAGGTACCTTCACAGTCACCTAGTTCCAGAACTTTTCATGGCCCTTAATAGAAAAACCTACCTATATGGATTGTGACAGCCACTGCCGTTGGCCTGCTCTCTTCAGTCCCCAGCCACCCCTCTCTGCTTTCTGCCCCTGTGGATCTCCCCACTTTAGATAGTCCACGTAAATGGAACCACACCACACGTGGCTTTGGTGTCTGGTTTCTTTCTCTCCGCACACGTTTTCCAGGTTCCACACAGTGTGGTCCACATCAGGGGTTCGCTCTGACTTTCAGCTGAGCATTTCACACTGGACAGCTCTGCCTCCTTGAGTTTGTTCCCCTCTTTGGGGGCATCATGCTGTTCCCACCTTTCTGCCTCTGTAAATGCAGCGACTCCAAATGCTCCCCCGCCGCCATGGCTTGAGTGCTTCTCTTCAGTGGTCTGGTGCACACCCAGGGCAGGGCAGCTGGGCTGTGCAGTCCTGAGCCCCGTTACTGCCACAGATTCCTCTGCAGCAGCACCATTCACCCCCACAGGCCACATGTGGTCGCCTTCCCCACATCGCCACCAGCACTTGTGACTTCCTGTTTCAATTTTCTCTCATGGCCATCCACAGACACACTGAGAAGCGCCCTGTCTCAGCCACGTTCCCAGCAGTGGGACAAAATACCTGCCACCTGCATCGTAAAGGAAGAGGCTTTTTTTGTGCCTCATGGCTTCAGTGGGTTCAATCCATGGTTGGTTGGCTTCAAGGCAGAAATGGCCTGGCGGGAAAAGGCTGCTCCCATCAGGGTTAGCAGAAGCAGAGGGAGAAGTGAGGAGCCATGGTCAGTCCCAGTGACCACTGCAACAGGGTCCCACGCCCTCATGGCTCATTCAGCCAGGAACTCATCCATGGATGCCTCCAGGATGGGTACTGTGCCCGCGAGGATCTTAGGGAACATCTTCGATGGGAATCATGAGAGACCTCCAACTCAGACCCATCATGATGCTGGGTGGGCTGTCTGGAGTGATCCCATGAATCTTGAATCGTGTCTGTGGGGCTCAGCTCAGGGGTTGACCCTCCTGGCCCCAGCTGGGGAGGCGCTAGGTGCCCCACTGGTCAAGCTCCCTGTCTGTGGCCTACTGTCCTTTGCCCTGGGCACCATCACTGTGTTTAATGCTTCCCCAAGGGCAGTGTGAGAGGCACAGGGCCTGGCCTTCCCCGGGAGAGATTGTCTTTGCCAGTGGATGAAGCAGGAAGGAACACAGGCATGTTCACACACACAAGGACATGGTCAAAGTCATGAGCAAGCCCACCACATTCTCCACCTGTCTGGTGAAAGATTCCACATGCTCCTGGCTCGCTTCTCGAGATACACATCACGTTGTTGTCGACCACGACACCAACCTGACAGTGCAGACCTGGGACTCCCTCCTGTGTCTAAGGACAGCGCTGCTCCCCTGCCTCACGCTGTGTCCCTGTCTCCTCCGTCCTCCCCAGGATCTCTGACCCCCCATCTGTCCTCCCCAGCCGCTGCTGACTGCTTTCCAGTCTCAGCTTCTAGGAGGCCAACTTTCAGTATCGCATGTCAATTAAAGACAACATTAAATTTTAAAAAATAAAGGAGTTTTGCATACTTCTATTGTAAAGAACATGGAAGGGCTGGGTATTCAGCTTAGTGGCACCGTGTCTGCCTTGCAAGTGCACGGTCCTGAGTTCAATCCCCAGTACTGGAAAAAATAGAAAAAAGAACATGGAGACATTGCTGCATGGGAAGTAGGTGGTACTAATGAGGCAGGGTAGTTACAGCACTTTGATTCTGTGTCAAAATTGCCTACTCTTGAAGCCGAGCCAAATGAATAACTGAGGTTGATCCAATCAGAGGTGAAGGCACCTCCAGGCCTTTCTTACAATGTCATGTCCACTTAGTAAATGTCATTTCCTACATCATTTGATTTTCATGTAACACAAGTAGATATTAAGAAAGAAAATATAAAAACCACTATTTATACTTCTATGAAAAATAAAACAAAATTTCGTACCAAAATAATTAAAGAGGAAGTAGTTAATACAGTGACTGCTGATGAGAAGTGAACGCATCCTGGCCACGCAGCAGTGGAGTACATCCTACTGATGCTCACACGTGTGAAAAACTAAAAGCCAAATACAATTTAACTCAGTTCACATATTTACCTCAAGCCCTTCCTAAGCAGTGGGTATGGAGTACAAAACCACTTCTGAGGCGCAGCCCTGCTGCAGGGAGGGCATCCTGTGAGCCCCAGGGAAGGGCGGGTCCCGGGGTGCCAGGGTGGCCCACTCAGGCTCACAGCTGGAGCCAGGGACTGGAAACGGGGCAGAGGGAAGGGCGTCCTCAGGCCTACCCAGACCCTGTCTTCAGCCAGAAGTGTCCATGCGCACAGAGTGCCCCGGGTCTCTTGCTTGGGCCAGTGCAGGGGATCAAACCCCGGGCCTGGCAAGTGTCCAGCACCGGCCACAGCCCTGGCTTCAGTGTCACGGGGAGCTGGTGGGAAGGGTCACTGATTTAGCAGCGCTACATTAATTACTGAGCATAACGTAAGAGAAAAGAGCAGGTTCTGACAGTGTTCGAATGATAGGAACTTCCACCGTCACTTCAGAGAAGAACACCAAATTAAGATTACTAAACTCTACAGGAATTATTTTTTCTACTTACTGTTGAACTGAAACCACCTGCTTCTCAGTAGAGAATAATTTGTTGTAATAACTTGTTAATTTCAGCCTGTCAACCTGCAATCTTACTAGCATGTTATGGTTTCTACCTAATTAATTTGAATTAATCTTTAATAGACACATAATAAACCCTACATGTTTGTACAGTGTGACACCACAGTGCGTGCAATGGACTGATTCTCATCACTGATAGCGCTTACCATTTCTGTGTGGTAAGAACGTTCAGAATCCTCTCTTCCGGCGATTTTGAAACATAAAACATTACCATTCTTGGCGATCTCCCTGTGCAGCGGGACACCACACTCAGCCTCCTGACCCCAGTGAGTGTGGTGCCCCCTGGCCAGCTCCCTGCCCCGTCCCCAGCCACTGGGACCCCCACTGTCTCCCCGTGTGTGACATCCACTTCTTCGGTCAGCACACGAGCGACGCCGTGCGGATCCGGATCCGTCCTTCCGGGTCTCGCATGTCCCACTCCGCACCATGCCCTCCGGTGTGGATTTCCCTGGTCACCTGTGACGTCCAGCCTCTTTCTGTGCCCTGTTGGGTGTTTGATGACTTCCTGTAGCAGCATCCTTTCAAGTCCTTTCCCATCTCAAAAACTGAGATTTATTTATGTATTGAGCTATTGGGTTATATGAGTTTTTTTTGGTGGGGGGGTTTGCATATTTTGGAAATTAGCCCCTTCTCTGAGGCATGGTCCCAAACACTTTCTCCTGTGCGGTAAGTTGCCTTTTGGCTGCGTGGTGCCTGCAGTTCATAAGGTAGGATGCACTTACCATTTGTTAAGAGGGCAGATCTCTCCTTAAACTTACCAGAGAAAGCAAAAGCAAAAAGACGGAAAGAGGCACAGAAGGCCGTTGGAAGTGGTGGGTGTGTGCACTACCCGGACCTGGGGATATCGGCAAGAGTGTGTGCACATGTGCACACTCACAGGACTGCGCACATTAACTGTAGCATCCTCACAGGCCCAATTATACCTCACTAGTCCCGGGAAAACAAGAGGGGTCCTTGAAAACATCTTTGACACTTGGAAGGACAAGTGTGCAAGGGGCGACCTCCCTTCGGCACATTTGTAAGCCAAAGGGGACGTGTAGGGTTCTGGTGCTTAAAATATTTTTATTTTTCTTATTTTAACTGTCTAGATTTTTCTCCTCCAAGCACAGAATAGTCTAACACGCCAAAGCGCATGAGGTCAGACATGGGGTACTGGGGCCGGGGGAGCCCAGCTGGCTTAATTATCAGGGAAAATGCAAAGTGCTCTGCTTCCCAGGCTAACCAGGCCGAACTTGCCCAGGCAGGAGGGGAGGAGGAGGGCCCCGCGGGAGGCGTCACCGAGCCGGCTCAGGTCTGCGTGGGCCCGGCTGCCCCCTCCTCTGTGGCCTGGGCCAGCAGCGATGTCCCCCGGGGGCAGCAGGTTCTCAGCTCCGCTTTGCGAGCAGCACAGGCCGGAGCTCGCGCCTGGGGACCGGGAGGAAGCCTGGTCCTCCTCCAGCTCGGTTCCCGCGCGCGGCAGAGGGACACAGCCAGGAGCAGGAGTCGCGATCCCCGCAGGACCCGCCTGGGACTGAGGAGCCCTGGGGACTGAGGGGCTCGTTCCTGAGACGGGGCCTGAGGCCAGGCGCTCCTCCGGGGACCCAGCGGGATCTTGGATGCGACCCGCAGTGTGCTCCGGTCCCCAGGGGTCGGATCGTCCACAGAATGACCTCAAGTCCGAGCCGCTCCCAGGACAGCCGAGCCGCGCAGCCCCAGGAGCTGCAGGGAGGCGCAGGCCCCGGCTCTTCTGGTCCCTACCGCCCGCGGGCGGAGGCGCCTTATCGGGGCGCCCAGCTGGGCTGCGGCCGGGGCGGGAGGCAGGGGGCCCCGGGCCGCGGGCTTCCTCCCCACAGCCGCCTGGGTGGACGCGGGACAGCGCCGCCGCCCCTCGGAGGCCCCGACCTCCTGCCGCCCTCTCCTTTCCCTCCCGGCCGGGAAGCCCAACCTCCCGGAGGAGGACGCTGCGCGCTTTGACTGCTGCACGGCCAGAGACAGTTTCTGCTGGTTCTGTCTCGTCCTGAGAAGAGGCTCTGTGTGCATCTGGACAGGAACAGTGCGCGGAGGAGCAGGGTGCCCCATCGGCCAGCCGTGCAGCCCCGGGAGGGTCCGAGCATCCTCCTGTCTCGGCCTGCTTTTCCCCAAGCGGGGCGGGCTCGCGCATGCGCGCTCTGGCCCCCGCGCCAGGCCCTCCCCTCAGCGCGCCCGGCCCCGCCTCTGACCCGGGCGGGCTCGGGGCTGCGGGGCACCGCGGCGAACAGAGGCAGCGCCTGAGCGGGTCGGAGACAATGGGCAACGCGCCGCTGCGGGCGCTCTGGTGAGCCCGGGCGGCCGGGAGGGGCGGGCCCAGGGGCGGCCTCGGGGCCGCCTTCCCTTCCCGGGCTCCCGGCCGGCCCGGCGCGTGTGTGCGGCTCACGCGTGCCCCGCTCGGCGCTCTCCTGCAGCCGCAGCTGCCTGCCCGGGCCCGGGCTCCGCTCCCCTGACCTCAGCGCCCGCGGGCCTCTGCAGCAGGAGAGGCGCAGCCGCCCAGCGCCGCGTCCCGCGCCCTCTCCGAGGCGCCTGCACGGGGCGCAGCGCTCCTGAGACCCCAGACCCGGGCACCCGCGGAACCGGGCTCCGAACGCGCGTCTGGTGGCGTGGAGCAGCCGGGGCCGCTGGGACAAATCGGTTGGCCTGGAGCACTGGCTGTCGAGGGGGGTCCTTCCCCTTCTCCCTGTGTTAGAACGGCTCCTGCCGACCTCCGGACGACCCGGGACCGCGCAGACTGCTCCTTCCGCGGATTGCTAGGATTTTTATTAGACCGCGTGCGGTCCCTAGCGAGTGAGCTCACCGTGGGGAGTGGGTGCCTGCAGGCGAGAACGTTACTGGGTAAAAGTCAGCGCGGCAGGAAGACATGCTCTGCCCGGCCCGGGAGTGGGAGTGGGGACCCGTGGCCGGGACTGGGCGACGCGTCACGTGGGGCCTCCGTGGCCGTGGCAGCAGCCCCCTCCCTGCGCTTCCCCGCGCCCCACCTGCTGTCCGGGCTTCTAGGCCAAGCGCTCTCCAGCGCGCGGGAAGCCTGCGGGCCGGGCCGGCGGCCTCTCTCTTAGTTTTTATTTTACATCCGTCCATGTGTGCAGCACATCGCCGCTGCGGTCTGGGTCTGGGTGTCCCTCAAAGGTTGCTGTGGTCGCAGGCTGGATCTGGAGGGTGTGAAGCTGGAATTGATTCGGGATGCGATGCGGGGCCCAAGGCCCTGGGGTTAAGGGTGTGAGTGCTGTCGCCCTAAGCGGTCTGAAGGAGACCGAAGGACAGCAGAGGCCGGTGACTCCCGCTGCCTCCTGCGCACCGTGCTGTTTCTCCTCTGACGCTCCTTTGCCCTCCCAGCCTGGAGCCAGCTGGTTATGGACTGAAACCTCTGGGAACCGTAAGCTACACAAACCCTTCCCCTTCCCCTTTGGGTGTCCCGGGGCCGGGAGAAAGGTAACAAGACAGTCACCGTCCCGTTCCCGAGGGAGCTGGTGCGCGGACACAGCACTGTCTTCCCTCCTGGTCACCCTCTTCGGTCCTTAGCCCTTCTTATGTGCAAAGGCCTGTCTCCTTGCTTCCTGTTACCTCTCTTGTCCTTTGCTCTTTGTTTATTTACACTCTGGCTTCCCATCTAAGAGAAACCATGTGAGGGCGATGTCGAGGCTTGTGTGTCCGATTTCCCTTCGCATCCTGGTCTCCAGGCGCACGCACGCATCTCCCTGTAAGTGCCCTTCTTTATGGCACAGGAGTACTCCACGGTGTGGGAATACCACATTCTTCATCCTGTCACCTCCCGGAGGGCACACAGGCCTCCTGCTAGCTCTCACAGCCGTGCTGCCGTCCACGCCGGTGTGCATGTGTCACTGTGATAGGATGCCTCACGCCTCCGGAAGAGTCCCAGAAGGGGAGCAGCTGGCCAGGTGATGGTTTGACTCCAAGATGCCAGTTGGGGAGGGGGCTGTGAAGCAGATCAAACACTGCAGAGGCCGCTAGGAAACCTGAGCTTCGTCGTGCTGCTGAGGCTGTGAAGGAAGCAGAGGCTGCTGGGCTGACCCGGGAAGCTGCAGGGACGGGACCCAGGGTCACCGGCCGTGAAAGGAGAGCGCCGAGGCCACTCAGCTGTCAGCCCCCCGCCCCTGGGGCCTGGGAAGGTGCACGTGGGCTCTGGGGAGTGCGGAGCCACTGGCAGCAGAGAGCACCAGAGGAGCCAGGCTGTGGGGAGCGGCACACGCTCTCGGGTATCAGGTACTGGGCAGGGCCTGGCAGGTGAGAGACGCACCGCACGCCCTGGGCCCAGCCCACCTGGGCGGACCGGGCCCAGGGCAGAGCAGACAGGGAGGCCCGGCCACACCTGCCCGGCCACCTGTCACCCACCTTCTTCTTTTCCAGTACTGAGGATTGAACCCAGGGCCTTTGCATTGAGCTGCATGCCCAGCCCATTTATTCTTTATTTCTTGAGACAGGGTCTCCCTAAGTCATTAGGTTGCCCAGGCTGGGCAGGATCTGGCGATCCTCCCGCCTCAGCCTCCAGTTTGCCTGGTTTACAGGCGTGGAGTGTGCTGCCACACCCAGCTGTGTTAGCAGGTGTGCTGCTGAGGACCTGTCCTTGGATTCTGGGGTGAACCCCGTCGGGCTGCGGTGTGTATTGTTTTACTGTGCTTTCAGATTAGTAGCTCACCTTTCACTGGTGACTCTTGTGTCCATTTTCATCAGTGAATTGGACTTGTGATTATTGTTCTGCTTATTTAATTTTGGAATAAAACTATGTTAATTTCAGTAAGTGGCTTTGGCATCATTTTACATTTTTCCACTCTTGGAAATATCTCGTACAAGAGAGGGGGTATTTGTCACTCAAACTTTGGCAAAATTATGTACGGACCTACAGACCTTAACTTTTCTGAGTTACCACGTGTTTGCCGTCTGGCACGGCCATTACACCTGCTGCCGGGTCACAGGTCTGGAAGTCTGCAGCGCCCACTCCGCCTCATCCTCTCGTGGTCCCTTCCCTTCTCCCTCCTTGGACCCGGGCCAGCTGCCGCATCTCACCGGCCTTTCTGACATGTGGTTCTCAACCGCGCTCATTTCTGCCTGCAGTTTGTTTCCCTTCTCTTTCTCAACTCCTGGAGATAAACACTTACTTTGTCATTATTAATCAGTTGTGTTTTCTTTAGCAACTCAATTTCTTCAGAGTTTACTTTATCCTTAACGGAGTCTCACACAGCTTTGATTACTATTTCACTGTTAGTAATATTATGGTTCTTTCTTTAATGTAAAGGATTACAAATCCTCAGACAGGTTTATTTGTGGTTAAATTTTTATTATTGATCTGTAACTTTACTATTGATAGTTGGAAAAATAGTGTACAAATTATTGATTTAAGGAGCTGTTTATTTAAACTTCTATTGTGGAGTTATGACGTCATAAGTTAACATCAAACACATAAAAAAGAGAAAAACAAAGTAAGGAAAAATTCCCATAATCTCAGTACAGTGTCCTGGATAATTTTAACATTGAAATTAGTGTATTTCTACCATGATATACTATAAGCTAAATCATGGTGGCAGTCAACAAAATTTGTAGGCGACCTATTTCTCAGCATTATCTGAATTCCCCTTAATAACAATGAGACTGCATGTATGGTGGAGTTCAGTGTCCAGTTGTGTTCAGTGATATTTTATTGCAGGGGAATTCCAGCCAGGTTCCTACTAAGGTTAGGCATTGTCGAGTCCTGTTTTTGATTTAAAATACCAAAATCCCTCGGATGGGTAAGTCAGTGAATCTCTTATGGCTAAGGAGAATTATGTTATAAAATTCTTTCTTTGTGGATCAGCATAGTAAGGTGTAATCCTGAGAAAGCTGGACTCCAGAGGAGCGAGGAAGATGAGCTGGCCAGGGGTGTTTACGTTACATTTGGGTAGATTCACACTCTACACTGTAAATGGACATTGCATCCAGATTGGCCACGACTGTGACTCTTACACAGAAATCTCCTTCAGAACTCATCCTGCCAGCAGATGGGGTCCACGGAGGTGCCCCAAGAGGATATGGGGACCTTGACTCACCACCACCCCAGGAGCAGGTTCTTAGTTCACGATAGGAAAGAAGTGAGGGACTCATCGGTGAGAGGTGTGGGTAGATTTACTAGGCATAATCCAGGAAGGCCACGCTCGGGAGGAGCATGGGAGCTCCAGGGCAGATGTGCTACACCTGGGTCAGGGCTTTGATGTGGCCTTGGGGGGGGGTCTCAGGATGGTACTCTAGGGTCCACACTGTCAGCGTGCTGTTAGTGGGCTGTGTTACCATGCACACCACTGGCGCGTGCTGGATGTTTCCAGACTTGGTACCTGGTTAAGAGTGCTGTTCCCTTGAAAGTAGAAGTCTGTGGGGCTTTCGATGTATGCAGTGTACTTTGATCATATCCATCCCCCATTGTCTTCCCTTACACCTCCCCCCCGCTCCCCTTTATTCCTTTCCTCTTGTCTAATAATGGTCTCCTTTCTATTTTCTTATGGTTGCTTTTAGATTCCACATATTAGAGATAACATGCAATATTTGTCTTTCCGAATCTGGCTTCTTTAGCTCAACATGATGATCTTCAGATCCATCCATTTTCCTGTGAACAACCCAGTCTTGTGTGTTTTTAATGGCCAAATAATATTCCATCGTGTACTCTGTCTGCTGAGGGGCCCATAGGCTGGTTCCATAGCATAGCTACTGTGAACTGTGCTGCAGCGATGCCTGCAGTGTGCTGGCTTTCATTCCTGGGTGTATGCTGAGCAGCGATAGAGCTGGGTCACATGGTAGCTCTAGTTTTTCATTTTCACAGGACCTCCATCTCGATTTCCATAGTGGCTGTACTAATTTGCCTTCCCACCGGTAGTGTGGACAGGTTCTTTTCCCTCATATCTTCCTCAGCATTTATGGTTTTCTGTATTCTTGATGATCAGCTTTCTGACTGGTGGGAAGGAATCTCAACCTCATTCTGGTTTGCACTGCCCTGGTGGATAAAGATGTTGAACACTTTCCATGTATGTATTGGCCACTTGCATTCTTTCCTTTGAGAAGTTCCTGTTCATTTGCCCATTTATTGATTGGGCTACTTGAGGGTTTGGTATTTTTTGAGTTCTTTATACTCCAGATATTAACTCACTGTCGAAAGAGTAGCCGGCAAATATTTTCTCCCACTCTGTAGGGTGTATTTTCACTCTGTTGGCTGTTTGCCTTGCTGTGCAGAAACCTTTTAATTTGATGCAGACCCATTTATTGACCCTTGATTTATTTTCTGTGCTATTAGAGTCCTATTTGGAAAATCTTTGTCTTGTGCTATGGCTTCAATGTTTCCCCATCTTCTAGCAGTTTCAGCGTTTCAGGTGTCACACCTTGGTCTGTGGACCTTTTCGAATTGATTTCTGTACATGGTGAGACACCAGGATCTGGTTCCAGTCTCCTCCAGATGGACAGATGTCCAGTTTCCCAGCACCAGGTTTTAAAGTGCCTGCATGTTTTGGCTCCTTTGTCAAGAATCAGGCGGCAGTAGTTGGGTTTGTTTCTGTGACCTCGGTTCTATGCCACTTGTCTGCGTCTCCCTTTTGTGCCAGTTCCACGCTGTTTTGTTGCTGTGGTTTGTGGTATCGTTTGAAACCAGGTGTTGCGGTGCCTCCAGGCTTGCTCCCTTTGCTTAGGATTGCTTTGGCTATTCTCGTTCTTTTGTGTTTCCTTATGAATTTCAGAATTGTTTTTTCTAGATTTACAAAGAATTGCCATAGTATTTTAATGAGGATTGCATTGAATCCATTTTTTGGTGATATGACATTTAGCAACGTTAATTCTGCCAATCCATGAACAATGGAGGTCTTTCTGTCTCCTAGGGTCTTCAACTTCATTCTCAAGTGTTCAGAAACGTTCACTGTAGAAGTCTTTCACCTCCTTGGGAAAATGGACCAGTAGGTCTTTTTGTTTTGTTTTTGTTTTTTTGGAAGCTATTGTAAATGGGCCTGCTTCCCTAACTTCTTTCTTGGCTATTCCATTATGGCATATAGACAAGTATGTGATTATATATCCTTTAACTTGCTGGATTTGTTTATTGGTTCTTAAAGTCTTTTGGTGGAGTCTGTAAGGTCTTCTAAATACAGGATCTTATCAGCTGCAAACAAAGATAATTTGGATCCTTCTTTCCTCTTTGTATCCCTTTATTTTCCCTCCTTTTCCCTAATCGCTGTAGCTAAACTTCCACAACCATATTGCTGTGATGAGTGGAGATACTTGGCTTGTTCCTGATTTTAGAGGAAATAGTTGCAGATTTTCCCCATTGAGGTTTATTGTAGATGACCTTTACTATTTTGGAGAATGATCCTTTCGTGCCTTGTTTCTTCAGGGCTTTTGTGTCTATAAAGGCAAGTTGAATTTTGTCTACGGCTTTCAAAAAAGTTTTAATGTTTTGAAAAATTGGGGAAGGGGACAAAAATTTCGGAGAGTGGAGTAGAGATCAACGCCGAGGAAATGTCTGCCCTGAGAGCTTCCAGGGAGCAGGAGGGAGGCTCAGAGCCTGAAACCCGGCCCAGGCAGACTCAGACTCCTGCAGAAGCAGCGAGGCCGGATAGCGACAGGAGAGTGAAAGCAGGAGCAGCGGAAGATCCTGCTGCAGAGATTTTGGTTTATATTCACAGTTGAGGTCACATCTGGGTGTCAGGATTAACTATTAGCATGGACTGTAAACCAGGCAAAGCTTAAGACCATTCGGAGAAACGCCGTGGGAATAACTGGCAGAGCAGAGAGCTGGTGCCTGAGGCAGGCTGTGTGTGTCGCTAACCAGGAACACTGGGAGATCTGCCCATCTCATCTCAGACCGTTTCCTGTTCGCTTGGTTGTTATCAGACCATGATAACTGACGGAGATCACGCGGAGGGAGAAGCACAAGCCAGGCCTGCGGGGCGCAGCCAGGGTCTGCACGGCAGCGGGGTCTGCACGTGATGCCCCCGGCGGGCCGCAGAGCCCTGGGCAGCGCCTCCCTGGGGCCAGCCGGCTCTGCTCCCTGGGATCTGCGCTGGCCGGGGCTGCCGCACCTTCCCTGGGAGGATCCACCTGTGGGGACCTCGCACCTCTTCTGAAATTCAGGAAGCTTTCACGTCTGAGAATCATAAGCCCCGGCCCCGGGGCCTCAGGGTTTTAAATACAAGGCTGAGAGGCAAAGGTCAGGCCACCGGCTTGGTTGGTTGGACCCTAGAGTCTGAGGCCGCTCTCCGACACGGGCGGGCTCTGCATCTGCGCCGCCTGGGTGCTGGAGGAGCGCAGCCCTGCCCTGAGGAGAGACTTTCTGTTACTTAGCAGCACAGCACGCGTTTGCAGCACACAGCTTCCACCCCGGCGTGGAGTCGGCGCCTGCGCACAGTGCGTCTCCATTCTCTCTTCTCGCCTCCCGGGCTGCATCTCTGACCCCTTCCCCTTGGGGAAAGATCCGTCTCCCTGCTTCCCGTCATCTGTCTTTCATTTTGCTCTTTATTTAAGCTGTGTGTCTGATTCATTCCACATAATTATGGTCTTGGACTAATATCTAGAATATGTAAAGAACTCGAAAAATACAGATTCCCCTAAATAAAAGACCCAATCAAATATGGTCAAGAAAAGATTTTAATGGTTGGGAAACTTAAGCAGGGGGTGAAAATTTTGTAGAGTGGTGAGAATACTTCTTTCTTCCCATCCAGTTGCGTGGGAGCGAATGCAAAGAAGAACGGGAAGGAGAGTCTAGATGTGAAAAGGACACGGTAAGAGAACATTTCCCTCTGAGAGCGACATCCAGACTCCGCCCTGAAAGAGCTCAGCCTGGCGCGGCAGTGCCAGGGCTCCGCGGTGGTTTCCTCTGACTTGGAAGCAGGTTCGATGGCGCCCAGGAGGAACGGCATACATCGTGCCCTGCTGTCCTCTCTTGTTACTGAGCGAGGGTAGCAGTGCGTGGCCAAAGTAAAGGACGCCTGGTTTGGTGGGCTGCTTCCAAGGGCCACCCCTTAATCTGTTCCTCCAGAACAGTCCTTGGGAAAGCTAAGTCTAGCCATGCCTTTTCCTTGCTCAAGACCTTTCTGTCGGTTTCCACTGCATCCAGAATAAGATCCAAGCTCTTCCCCGGCACCCTAATCTCGGGAGGATTGGTTCTTCACACCTCTCCCCCCTGCTCCACACCCATGCCCTCACCAGCCACCCCCAGGCCTCCTGTTCTCAGGCTCTCCAGCCCCACTATTGGGGCCGCAGGACATTGGCACGTGCTGCTCTTTCAGCCCACAGCCCCTTTCCTATGCCTGGGGGATGGTGCCCATCCTGGAGGGCTGCCTGTGCTGCTGTCCTGGGACAGACTCGCCTGCTAGGCCATGTAGGGACTTTGCTTCCACACCAGGGCTTTCTGCTGCTGCACCCTTCTCACATTTGTGCCGGCCTTGGTCTCAACTGCAGCTCCATGGTCATCTTCGGCCTTCACGGACATGAGCTCCAAAGCGCTAACTGTGTCTGTTTAACTTGCCAGGCTCTATCTGATGCCCAACCCTTCCAGAACACTCAGTGGAAAAAGGAGAAAAAAGCGCAAACATGCCGGATGTCTGGACTGAATGGCAGCCCTGCCGCGATGAGCAGGAATGCTCTGCTGCACTTGCTAACCGCGGGCTTCATGTCTGCACTCAGCCCCCTCCTGATCCTTCCACCTCAGGCTCCAGGGCCCCCCCCCCCGCCCTCCCTGGCCCCTCCCCTCCCTTGTTTTTCCCGCTCCTCTTTTCCTTTTGTGATGCTGACGATTGATCCATGGTGCTGATGATTGACCCTGAGCGCCACACTGAGCTATATTCCCGGTCCTTTTTATGACTCACTTTATTTTTTGAGGTAGGGTCTGGCTAAATCACTAATTTTCCCAGACCGGGCTAGACTTTGCACTCATCCTGCCTCAGACCGTGCCGAGTCTGCAGGTGAGGGCTTCCTGCAGCTGCCTCTTGTTCCCCGCAGGTAGAGGTGGCTGGCTGGCTGCTAGATGCTCCGGGAAAGCACTGTGCTGCCCTGGGCTCTGCAGCCCCTTCATGGTGTGCAGCTGGGGAGGAAGCTGCAAAGACCCGAGGATGTTACTGAACCCAGACTTTCTTAGCCTCCAGAGTGGGTTCTGGTTCCTGTCATTTAAATTGGGCTTTTAATTTAGCATTTAAATTAGATAATTAATTAGCCACGAACTTGGAGTTGAATCGGGTTTTCATGAGATCTGGGTTGGAGGCACAGCTCCACGCTGAGCACCTGCCTGGCAGGTGTGACCTTTGGTTCCACCCCCAGAACCACAAATAAATAAGCAAATAACCAGAAACAAGTGGGGTCTGCATTAGCAGTTATTCTCAAATTTCTTGCTGAAGAACGGAAGTGTTAACATCTTCACATACCAGAAAGTCTCCATGAGAAGCAGACAGTGCTGAACAGGAACCTGTCTCCGGGGAGATGTAAGCCAGGCTCGAGGCCCCGACCAGGCCAGAGCAGGTCTGCCTCCCCCACTGCCCCGTCAGACTCAGCTTCCTTCCCGGCCCATCGCACTGGGTGGTGCTGTTTGAGGAAAGACACATCTTCTATATCGCCTGAGCCAATTTTTGTTTCTTTATTTTTTACCAGAGCATTGTTCTTTCGATTCATAACTTAACAGGCCAGTGGGACTCTTTCAACTTGTTTAACTTTTAAGTGTAGATCTGCAGCTTTGTATGCGGTGAAGTTCGTCCTCGCATGTGCCTGGTTTACAAGTGCAGAAAATGTCCCACGTCACAGAGCTGCAGCCTCGAGATAGGCACAGATTCCATCACCCAGCCTCGATAACGGATCTCATTTCTCTTTTCCCTTTTGTCAGATGCCATAAGATGATTGCTTTATCTTCAGCGAAATCATATTTTCACTCTCTTCAGTTTTGTCTTGTTCCTCTTGTAGGTTTTGAATGCAGGCTCTTTTCTGTGCAGTTTCCTGTGTGGGGACAGGACCACCTAAGAGCAGCAGCTTTCCTCTAATGACTACTTTATTCATGTGTGCCCAGCTCTCATCCCCGCCTGGGACGTAAAGATGCTGCCCTGATGGCCGGAGAGAGTGGGCTGCGGCCCTGGCTGGCAGAGGGAGGAGGCAGGAGCAGGTGGGGAGGGTGGGTGACCTCAGCTGGACCGGAGGGCGGAAGGGCAGTGGGAAGGCCCAGCCGGCAGGAGGTGGGAGACACTGGCGGAAGCTAGAGAACGGCGGGTGGTTGCCACAGTGGGGTCGTGGTTAGGCCCCACGGGCTGCCCTTTTGTTCTAGGAGCCTAATTTTTTGAGTTTCGTGTTAGTCCCCATCTGCAGTTCATGGTGAGTGCTCTCCTCGTGGGGAGCGTGCAGTGTGCATTGCATGCTCGGTTGTTTTCACTGCCACACCCCTCCTCCACGTCCCCTTTCCCTGCTGAACGACTGCTCCCTGCTCCCTAGTATCTATCCTTTATTTTGCCCTTAATTGCTTATACTTTGGGGTTCAATGTAAGAGAAACCATGCATTCAAGCTGTGTGTCTGACTTACTTCACAAAACATTATCAGGATCATAATTTTGAAATGTACTCATTAAAGAAACTCCATTAATCACATTTCCGATATTTCCCGTCCTCGTGTTTTTCCTTCTGACTGAGACAAATTCAGCCCCTGTTCTTCCATTAACTTTCCCATTTTCTCTTGCGTTGCTCTGTCTGGATCCCAGGTACTTTGGTGCCATCGCTGCCCACACAGCTGGTTTCCTCCCTCTCCTGCAGCCCTGAGAAGCAGGGAGGGCTTCCGCTCAGGGCCTGGCCTGCAGTGCGAGTGGCCCGGGCAGTCCTGCTGCCCTCTCGATGCTGCAGGGTGGAAGGAGCTCTCCTGTGGCCTCCTCTGGTCCAGCACCCACTCTCTGCACACCTGAGCTTCCCAGGGCGCCACAGCCAGGGCCAGGGCCTGGTGCTCTGCAGCAGAAACTTTCCTTCTCCAGCTCCAACGCGGGAGTCTGGGGTTGGAGTGAGCAGCGGAGTCCTCCGAGCTGCCTTGGCCTGCAGACTGCTGCTGCTTCCTCTTCATTCGTCTCCTCCTTCTGTCTGTGTCCCTCCCTGCTCCTAACAGGCACACAGGTCAGGAGGACTGAGTCCTCTCCCAGCCCTGTTTTGACTTCTTTACCTCTGCAAAGCCCCATCTCCTTCCACGGCTGCATTGTGAGGTCTTGGGAGGAAGACTTCCTTCTTCACCTGAATTTCAAGTGGGCACAATTTAATTCAAAACACAAGCCAAGAAAGCCCAGGGCAACTCCTGGGAATTCTGGAATTGCTGCCACTGCCTGGAAGTGATCCCTGGCTTCAGGATGCAGCCTGGCCCTGCTGTGTTGGGTCAGAGGGGACCAGAGCAGGTGTGATGACCGCAGAGCAGGCTCGGACTTCGGCCGACTCTGAGGGCTGAGCGCTGAGCCACGTCCTCCACTTGTGTGCAGCACAGCTTTGCGTGCCCCAGAGTGCAGATGTGGGTGTGCAGCATCTGTCTGTTTCCTCCCAGGGAGCTCAGCGGTTTGCACCTCTGAGGACCACACTTTGAGCTTGCTCTCTGGGGCTCCTGGGTCGGGCTTCTCTCCTGAGGCTGCAAATGCAGCCCATTCTCAGGTGCAGGTCCTGGGCCGACTGAGATGCCCTTCAGCGAGGCTTGGTTTTATCTTTTCCTCACTGATGTGCTAGGAGTCATCATTTATTTTGTCCCCTCCAGAATCCTAACACTTTACTTTTTCTATGTCTTTATCTTTAAAAATTGCAGAATTTAGAGGTGTAAGTAATAGTAAAAATTGTGCAGTGTGGTGTTGTGATGTATGAGTATGTTGTGACACGATTGCTAGACTCGAGCTCATTAACCAGTAGAAATGTCCTCCGTACTCGCTGCAGGTCCACTGTGTGAGCGAATCTCAAGTGCACAATGCACTCTGTTCAGCTGCAGCCCCTGTACCTCAGCAACCCACACAGTTTCCTTTTCTTCCCTGTGAAATCAACTTTCAGATTCACTCTTTACTTCACCCCTTTTTCTCTTTATTTCCTTGAATGCTTTCATTTGTTTGGTTTTCATTCCTAGGCAAAGAAGTTATGTGTGCATTAGCCTTTATTTTTCAAAATTATTGTCCTTTCTCTGACCATTCTAGCCCATTGTTTTCTGTTATTTAATTTTCACTGCAATGATGCTTAAACATCACTCTTTGATTTTAGAGGAATTCACTTTATTAACTGAAGCTTTCGATGTTGCTCCAATTTCTCTGAAGATTTCATGACTGTCTTCCATTGTTTCACTGATTTAGGCCAGCCCATTTTTCTCCTCCTCCTCTTATTATTATTATTATTAATTATTATTGAAAGATATTATTTATCTCCTCGATAAATTGTTTTTGATTTGTTTGTTTATTTGTGTTATCCAGCTCACCCTTGTAACTTTCACAGAACAAGGACCATTTGTGTATAAAACTGTACGTGTGCAGTGTGCATGTGTGTACATGTATGTGGGTGTGTGTACGTGTGTTTGCGTGTGTGTTGTGTCTTGGGCGGGTGCAGAGGAGAAAACATTTCCTTCCTTCTGCCTGCCCCTCTCTGTGCCCTGCAGTGGGGGCAGTCGCTGTCCTTTGCACCTTCTGTCGCTCGCGTGTCCCCTATGTTTAGTAGAGCTCTGTGTTTGCACCCCTTGCCCCTCCTTCCCGCTGGGAATGCGCCCCTCTCCGTTCCTGTCACCACCTCCCTGCACTTCTTAGTGTCGACCGTGAAGACAGCGCAGGACTCTGAGTCTCCAGGGACCGTGAAGCTTCTGCTCTCTTCTGAACAGCAGGGAGCACAGGACTCCCCCACCCACCCCCCACCCCCGGACTGCCGGAAGTGCCCTCAGGCTGTGTGAGAGGTCGGGTCAGGTCGGACGGGGTAGCAGTTCCTGAGCTCCGCCCCTGGAGCTGGTTCCCACTCCTCCCTGCCTGGCTTTCCTGGGTTGTTCAGAAAGTGCCGAGGAGAGGGCCGAGTGTGCCCACCCTGGCCTTGTCCCTCTAACCCTGACGTGGAGAAGAGCAGCCCGATGCTTCCCTGAAGTCCATTTTCAGGTTCAGAGAACCAAGGAACCTCACGCTACCATCTGTCTCTTTCTTTGCAGGCAGGAAATGACCACATCTGAAGAAGAACTTCAAGGTCAAGGTAAGAAAAGTAAGTCCTTGCTTCCTAAGGTTCTCCACACCAGGGCAGTGTGAATTTAATGCCCCAATTATCGGTCCTTCTCTTGACAGGTTTGTAAAAAGACCGGGAAACATGTGGTTTGTGATCTTCACTGTCCCATAAAACTGGTCACATTACTTTTGTATTACAGTAATATTTTATATGATTTATTTTGGACAACATTCAGTACATTTATGGGGAGCAAATGAACCCAACTCCTGCTAGCTTTGCTGAGGTATAAAGGGCCACTTTGAATATTAGCTGATGGTAGGAAGAGGGTTTTTCCCTTTCGTGCTCTTTCCCCTTCTCCCTGGGCACCGCAGCAGTAATTACGAAATTCCTCCAAATGGGCAAGGAAGATGGCACCCCTTGTTCCCTGGGGAAGGTTTCTTCCTTCCTTGCTAGGTTTTTGAAGTACAGTTAGCAAATACAAATCATATGTGAGCAAATTCCATAGGCTACACAATAGAGTTATGTCACCAGATAGCATCGCAGCCCCAAGTGGAATAATGTATTTAGAAGTAATCGTGGTGCCCCACAGATAAAGTAGTCATGGGACATAGTGATTTCAGCTCTGTGGATCCCTACGTGGTCACACTGCGCTGTGGAGTAAAATGCACTTCTGTGGATGATATTTAAAAATGTAAAGTGCACTTCTCAGTGCTAACTGCTGACTTCCGACCTTCAGGTCAGTGTCCACCTCAATGTCACTGCCCTGTCTTTTGCTGTTGTCAGCTTTGCTCACCATTTTCCTGCTGGAAGTTTCTCCTTCCTCTGTCAGACAGTCGCCTTGCTCTCCAGTTTCTGACTCCTGAGTGCCGGCCTCTACTCCCTGGCACTGATATTCCCCCGTGGAATCTGAGGTCATGGCGCTCCTTAGAGAGCTGTCCTACCTATGTTTTGGAAGGTTTGAATGTGATTGATCATTCCTCTGCTGATCTTCAGTAGAGATTCGGGGTGAGCCCGTCCAGCAGGATGGCATTTATTGTGAAGAAGACTTTTTATGTACACAGGAAACACTTTTGTAGTGGTGGACTATGCCTAATCTCTCTTTCATTTGGTCAACTTTACATTTTTTGTTAAATTTTTCCTCCAATTAAAATTTGAAATCTCTAAGCTCAGAAGTGTTCATCATACCTTCTTTTTATTTTTAACATATGGTGTTCTGGAAAATCATGTAAAGAAATGCAGGGAGACACAGAATTCGGGTAAAATAATAAAAGATTTACTTGCACGCAGGCAGGACCACCAGAAACTGGTCTGGTCAGTGTCCACGCCGCTTGTTGTTCAGTGTCTCCTTTCTATATCCTTTTTGGCCATTTTCTCATTCCTGGTGGTCTTTGATGTGTAAATACAATTCCACTTCCTATTTACAAGCAGTTCCTGTTCATGATAACAGTCACAGACCCATGATAAGCACAGGACAGTTAAAACACCTACATTGTAAATTTACCCAGGCATTGCAACCTTGTTTTTCTAGGTTAAAATGTTATCTATTATGAAACTACAGATTAAAGAGTCAGATAACCATCACCTTAAACATCAAGAGTTATGGGAAAAGCAAACCTTAAAGGAATACATTACTTATTTTGCTTCTACAACTACCTTAATATTCAATTACTAAGTTATCTAAAACTTTTCCCTATCAGTGGTACTCGGGATCAGACCCAGAGTTGTTATTTTTTATTTTGAGACAGGATCTCAATAAATTGCCCAAGACAACCTCAAACTGGTGACCCTCCAGCCTCAGCCTCCCCGTAGCTTGAACTGTAGGTGTGCGCCACCATCCCCAGCACTTCTTCTGTACTGGACTTTGCAGGATCCATCACGACACCTTTCTCACACCTCACATTGTTTCTGTGAGCCTGTGTGCACACGTGTTTTCCATTTACTGTTTTATTGGTTACTTGTTGTTTTGATGATGGTGATGGAGCCCAGAGGTGCCCTCGCCATGCAGGGGCAGAGACCTGTGTGTAAAGGAGTCGCATGTTGGATGTTTGCCAAGTGGCTTTAGTCACTGAAGGGACCTTGGGTGCAACAATTAATGCAGCTCAAGTGGCCGTCTAGGGAAATCTGTGAGTGTCTTAGCCCCAGCCGTCCTTAACCCGGTCTAAAAAAGGAAATTAGAAGAGGATGCAACCAAAATCATCACCTTGAGCATCAACTAAATAATTTCCTGACTTCTGCAGGACATGTGTTGCTTTTCTTTCATGATTTCCCATTTTCTTTGGGCCACCCCAGCAGCCCAGAGCAGAACCAGTGTGGTGCTGTCCTCAGCTGGTCAGGGCATCTGTTCCTCTCATGCCTCCTCGTCCTGGTGAAATTCACAATGTCCGTGCCAACCTATGCAGCCCAGAATGGGAAACTTCCCAACATTTGCCTTGATAGTGGGTAAGACCAGAGCAGATGTTTTCTGGGTAGTTTGCTTGGTCCTGGCTCAGTCCTTGACCCACATGTTGGCTGTGCCTGCTTCCTGCTGCCTGCTCTGTGCTCTGGAAGCTGCCGGGCCACAAGCCAGGTCCAATGTCCTTCCTCTGTCTTTGGGGATCTTTGGAGCCATGGTCTGGGTGACCACTTTCCTCCGGGTGCCCAAGGTAAATGTCAGTGGGCCTTTGCTGGGTGTGCTTTGGGTCACTTGGGTCCTGTGTTTAATGTTAATGGCATCTGCTCAAACTCTGCATCAGTCAGGGGCTGTGACCTAGTCCAGTCCTCATATCCTTAGGTTTATTCCCATAAGCAATTCCTGGCACCAGCTTTTCTGGTTTAGTCACAATTGTGTTGAGTTCCAGAAAAGCCATCACAGTGCTAATGCCTTACAAATCATAATAGGTTTTTTAGTTGATCTTACAAAGTTCAATTTGCATTTCAGAAAACTGTGTATTTCATGGGCTGGGAGAAAGGTTTTCTTGGCCATTTTAACAGGCTGCTTTAGTGTATTGCCTTTAACCTTCCTATGCTCCTGCATGTTTTGATGATTTCTGCTTTTGCACATAAGAAATACAAGTGTGGTAGGCAGAACAAAGCCAGCAACAGATATCCAGGTTTGGTTTGTATCTGGCTTCTGTGGATTTGGCTTATGCACTGACACAAGGCACTTTACAGATACGATGGAGTTAATTAAGGATCTTTGGGAGGGGAGATCTGCCACGTGAGCAACAGCAGTGATCTTGGTCCTTAAAAGGTGGGAAGGGGATGAAGAAGGGGAAACATCAGAGCGATGCCCCTCAAGGACTCCCCAGGCTGCTGGAGTCTCAAGGCTGGCCTTGCAGGCAGAGCTGCTGTGAACTGGAGCTGATGGAAGCTCTGCTTGCTGGGGAGCCTAGAGCTGGGGCCCAGGTCCTCCAGGCAGTGGGTGGTGCTGACTCACCTTGGGTGGAGCCAAGGCACTGGAACAAATCTCTATGGACCCTTAGTTCTCACTCAGTCTTGGGCTGGGTCCAGGAAGCTCTTTAGTACAAGGAAGAAGCAGAAGAGTTTTACCAATTTCCATGGACCTGGAGGTGTTCAGAGCGAGACTCGAGGTGCTTTCCACCCACACTGCAGGGCACAGGACACAGGGCTCTCCAGGGGAGTGGAGGGGCTCTGGAGCATTGCTGGTCCCCACTTAGCACAGGAACAACAGCCTCCCACAAGAGCCTTGTCACCTCCTAAAGGGAGGGAGAGTCAGGTGCACAGTTCTGCTTCTTCACTCCTACCAGTGTGGCCTATTTCCACAGGGCAGGGCATGCCTGGGACCCTTCAAAACTGTTTCACAATTCTAATCTCCAGAGCTCTAGACTACTAAATTTGAATTTTAAGCCACTGGGCTTCTGGAATAGTGACCAAGAATACAGATAGGGTGACAGCAATGCCAGTGGGGACGTTTCCCCCGGGCCACTCCTGAGATGTTCCCCACCCTTCCAGAGCTCTTAGCTCCTTCAGCTGTGACCTTGAGCCCCGATTCCAGTGACACAGGGGCAGGGAGACTTCAGTCCTGTGATGGGGACGCATCTCCCTGAGTGCCCAGGACACTCCGGATCCCTCAGTAACGAGTCCTGCCACTGAGTCTGCCCTGCTTGGCTTGGTCTGGCAGATGCTGATTACTGAACGGGGTGGATATTCCCTTTCTGCACTAGAATCTCTGGAGCACACCTGGCCCTGTATCTCCTTCTGGTCTCTGTAGACCCATGGCTCCCTGGTTAGGCACCGTTCCTGGCTTCCCTTTGACGCATGACTTCCGCAGGGTTCAAGGGCAAAGCTCAGCCTCCAGGGATGGAAGGGGACTGGGTTGGGGGGGAGACGTGTCAGAAGATGGGGTTCAGAGAACTGAAGTCCCCAGTACTTATGTCGCAAAAACATTACCTATGGCTACACTTATAAAGATGTATAATACGGACATATGTAGCGTCCCATTTTGGAAATCAGTTGTAGGTTTCAGGGTCAGGCACTTTCTATCTTTTAAGTAGGGATGGTGGTCACATTTAGTATTCTGTGACTTCCGTACTTCTAGCTTGTTTATTAACAAAGTGTTAGTAGTAGACTTCATATTATTATGCAGACGCATTGCTTCAGGGTTCACAGATAGAGCCGCCCTGCATCTGCATATTTGTGTTTAGAGGGAAATGATCTTGTTATTTTTGTTCCTATTCTATAATGATCGTCCATCTTTAGAATTGTAGAATTTTCCTGGGATAGTTTTATAGAATTCCTCTCTTATACTTACACTCTGATCAGGCATCATCCATGGCTCTCTTCCTTGCTACAACGTGTGTGGACAGGGTTTTACCACCGATACAGAAGCCTGCACGGTGCTTGCCACTCCCGCCAGCACAGGGCCCAGCGTGTGTTCTGTCCCACTCTGGAATAATCCCGGGTCCAGACAGCCGCCTCCTTGGGGTTCTGTCAGCATGCTCTGTCCTCCATCCTTTCCCAACCCGCAGTTGAAAAGTCTCACATTCTTTTCCTTTTATTTTTTGTCCTCCAGGTAAAGAATTTCCATGCTCTTCTAATCAGGTAACTGAAAGTCAACAAAATAAAGGAAAACAAAAACCAAATTACCTTTCTTTACATTTTTCTCAGGAATGTCAAAATACAGATGGTTTTATTTAAGAGTAACTTCTATCTTCCTATACTTGCAACTTCTAAGTACACTTTGAGAAATCCTTCATATTTTAAGTAATTTATTTTATATTCTAATGCAAAAATGGAAGGGAATAAAAATTCCAAAGTATTACAGTGATCTAATGATTAGAAGGTTATTGCTGCTGTAGTTCCAATTCTTCTGATGTATATTATTTAGTTTTCAAAGCTATTATGACAAAAACAGGCAAAATCAAATAAAACTACAATTAAATCTGAACACCAAAAACATTAATTCTTTTCGCTTTGCACATTGCCTGCCAATGTGTATTCCTAGGAATTAGCATTCACATTTACAAACAGGATAGAAGTCAGTAACACACGGAAGCCCCTTCTCTTTGTGAAACTACCTCATGAGGGTCTTGTGGATTTAATTAGTATACATTGTTTTATTTTTTCTTTTCTTCACTATGTGTAGTGGAAAGTGTGTGAAACCCTAACTGTTAGTGTTAGTATTTTGTGTTAGAAGTCCCTTGTTCTGCGACTTGGTCGGTTCCATTTCGAGGTCCAGCTGTTGTACGCATTGCAGCTGGATTTGTGGAACCTGCAGCAGGTGCCTGCTGCTGCCTGTTCTCTGGCTGCCCGCCCGGAGGTGGCAGGGAGCAGGCTGAGGAGCGGCCTGGGGCCTGGGCGGGCTCCTGAGCCGGACGTGGCCCTGGTGAGCAGGGACCCTGAGCTCGAATCTGCCCCGGGCCCTGGCTGTGATTTCTCTTCTCCGTGCCTGGCAGGACGAGGGCAGCAGCGGCTTTGAGGATGTGTGCTATACCGTCATTGACCACACTGCCCGCTGCCGGCCGTCCCTGAACTCCAAGGACCACAGCTATGAGAACCTGGACACCGCCAGGAGGGGAGGCGGGTTCCGCAGGGAGGCGCTGGAGACGGAGTACGCCCTGCTCAGGACCTCGGGGGTCGGCTCCTCTTCCTACTCGCCTGAGCCAGACTACGAGCTTGTGCTCCCGCGCTGACCCGAAGGCCGCGGCCACCTGCCGGCCCGGAGGTGCAGGAGAGGGTCCTCACTCGAGCTGGCCTGGCCCTTGCTCTGCCCCCGTGCGCTCCCTGTGGCTTCGCTGTGGTCTGGGGAGGGCACAGACGCGGACTTGGTGGCTATGGGCTCTGGGCTGCTCTGTAAATGCTGAGGGTCTGAGCTGCTGAGGACTTCCCCGGGCCAGAAGGACGCGCAGGTCCAGCTTCCCCGTCGGCCTCTCAAATTCAGACGCCAGCATCTCCTGTCCAGGACGCGCTTCCTTTCTGAAGTCTAATAAACTGTAAAAGTATAAGGCCAGGGACCAGACTCTGCTGCCCTGTTGATTAATTTGTCTTTTGTGTGGACTGGAGAATCTTATTTTGTGGTCAAAGTTCAAGAATCCATGTTTTTAGCATTGTCCTTTCTGAGAGGAGGCACTGAATGTGTCACGGGGAGGAAAGGAAACCCCGCCCACCCTCACCTTTCCTGTCTAGTAGTTAACTGGAGGATTCTGTTCAGATTAGCAGAAAATGAAAAACAGAACAAACTTGTACATGCAGCTTGGTTCACAGTGTAGCGTTGATTGAACTTGTGATTAGATACCTCTTCTGAAGGAAGAGTGTCTGCTTGTAAAATTCCAGAAATCTGGTGACTAATCCATCTATTTTTACTGTCCCAATGAATTTTTAAGTTATATTTGAACTTCCTAGGAAATAAGTACCCAAAGGCCTTAACAGTCAAAGCATTTGTGATGTGTTTCTGTGTAGTGATGAGGATCCGTCAATAATATAAATAAATTTGAACCTTAGGTAACGCAATTGCGGTGTGCAAGTGTTGACTCTTCTGTTGCCTCCAAGTTTTAGCAAATTCCTGTGCTTCCCATGGTGCAGTGGGTGTGGGGAAAACTTAACAGAAATCCTGTAGCTCTAGGAAAGCCATCCTGCCAGAACTCGGCCGGCCCCAGGGCGGGGACAAGCTGACGGTTCTGCACCTTGTGGTTGTCTGTGATGTCTGACAGTGGGGCACGTGAGATGTAGGCTGGGCCAACTGGCGGGCTGTGGCCGGCGCGCTGGAAGCTGGTGTTGGGTGGCATGGGAGGAGGACTGGGGACCCCTCTGCTGGCAGGGCACAGATGTGAGGGTGCCAGGTAGCGTGACATGAGTGCTAGTGGGTGGCATCTCCCTCCCTGCGCCGTCCTCACAGGGTGGATCTGAGCAGTGCAGCCGAGGTGGGGTGGGGGCCCAGGGGCTTCTCTGCTCCATGGCTGACCTGGCAGTGGCTGCTGCTGAGGCCTGTCCTCAGGAGTGGATGCAGACACGGAGCCCCAGGTTCCACCTTGCCCAGGGAGCAGCGAGCCACCAGGGCAGGGACCGTGGGCAGGGTCCACTGACAGTGGTGCCTTCCCTGCACACTGTACCTACCACAGAAGCCCCGCAAACCCAGACAGCCTCACCCCCCTCTGGTCTGCCCAGCTCCACTGCTCAGCCAGAACTCGCTGCACAGCCAGTGAGGGTGCCGAGGGCCCTGCGCTCGGAGCTCCCTGCTGGCCCCAGCGTCCTGAGGCAGTGGACTCTGTGAGGCTCCACCTCGGCGCAGGGGAGGGAGGAAATCTTCCCAGGGTTGAGATGGGCTCCTAAGGTGAAACAGAAGCTCTGGATTTTGGTCCAATCTATGGGATTCTCAGGGAGAAAAGATTGACCAGCCCGGGCAGGAGGCGAAGGCTGTCAGGGGAGCGGCCCCCACATGGTTGCTTCTGGGACTCACATACACTGAGAGGAGTTTTCTATGTCCTGTCCCAGTCCTGGACCTCTGCAGGCCTGCAGGACAAGGGACACAAGGCTGAGTGCAGTCAGTTGGCTTTCTTTTACTCAACATAAAGTTTTTAGGACATATCTCCATCGTGTGACTTACTCATTTCTCTGCTTACCAAACTACTGCATGAATATAAATTTGTTAATCCATTCTTTGTTGACAGAGGTGTGAGCTACGGATGGAGACCACCCTGAGCAAGTTGAAAATTCATAAACTGGCTTTTTACATTAAACGTCTGAGTCTGCCTGTTGGCCCACGACGTCTTCTCTGAAGAGCCGGAGTTGGTGTGTGGGAACAGAACAACTCCCACCACTGGGCACAGCGGAGGTCCTGTATCAGGCGGAGAGAGGTGCAGAGTCTCCACAGTCCTGGGCCTGACTCTCCAGATTACGAAGAAGGTTGTGGAAGAATCAGATAGAGACCGGAAGTATAGAAACAAAGTTGTACTTTAATTCAGCGAGCATGCAAGAGTACAGCTGCCTTCTCTCAGAGAGACAGGCGAGGGTGCCCGAAACGGAGCCACTGTTGAAGGGGGGCTCAAGATGCTGGTTTTATAGCTGGGGGTCTATCCTGCCTCTGGGCTGAGGACTCCCCTACTTGATTGGTTAATGATTAACTTGGCTCATTACTAGGGACAACAAGGAAAGGTCTATTCAGGCCCCTTTTACATCTTAGGGCCAAGGTTCTTCTTCCTTCTGATCTAAGCCAACCAAGCTTTGCAGGGTACAGCATGAAGAAGAGGTGCAACTGCAGACTGTCAGTGCTTCACAGGTGGTTAGGCCTGTTCTGCCAGCTGTCTGAACTCCTTGGAGGGGGGGGTGTCCCTCATCTCTCCATCCCTACATTCTCAATGATCCCTGACACTATGAAGTCTCAGATGGCAGGACAATACTGCAACTTAGGGCAGCATGACTCATATGCAAAACTTCCATAGAAGCAAAAATTAATCTATGGAAAAACCAGATTTCCCATTAATCAGTGATTTGTTCCTGGCAGAATGTCTCATTCCCTTGTTGCTAGGACCCTGCTTGAGTCAGTGCTCTCCACGCCACTGTTTCCTACACTGCCCCTCTCCCCTTGCAGGAGCTGTGTGCTCAATAAATAGTGGCGAGCTCCAGGAGAGTGTCTTAGCCTGGTAAGAGCTCTGACCATCCCGGGCCCCCTTGTACAGTAAAGATCTTGTCTTTTCTTTTGTTATCCTGCTGCTATACCCTTGGTCACATGGTTGGGGGTTTGATCAGCATTTAGCTACCTTACATATAAATATTTTTTGCCTATATTATTGTGGACATAGTTTTCATTCCCTTTCAGTTAATCCCTAAAAATAGATGAGCTACCCTTGGGATTTAGCTCAGTGGTTCCACCGCCTGCCTCAAAAGCGCAAGGACACGAGTTCGATCCCTGGTACAAAAAAAAAGAAATAGATGAGCTGATCAGAGCGCAGGCAAATGTGTTGGTCAACTCTCTGTGACAAGCAAAATGCCTAGGATGATCACTTTACAGAGAGGAGAGGCTGGTTTTGGCTCATAGCTTTTGAGGTTTCAGAGGACAGCTGGCTGTCCCTGCTGTCCTGAGCTCTGCGGTGACATGGTACGTCCGGTGGGAGGTCCTTCTGGAAGAAGCCTGTTCACCTCATGGCTGAGAATGGAAGAAAGATGGGGAGTCCAGCACCCCTCAGTCTGCTTTCAGGGTCCACCCCAATAATCTACAACTTCCCGCCAGACCCCGCCTCTCATGGGCTCCACCATCTTCCCACAGCCTGAGCTGAGGACCAAGCCCTGAACTCAGGGCCTGGGGCATCCCAGGTCCAAAACAGCAGCATGTTTTTAGGGTCACAGGAAACTGGCGAACTTAGCAAAGGTTGTTGTATCATCTTTCCCCCAAACACAGAGTGTGAGTTTGCTGCACATTCTTGCCAGCATTCACTGTTGTTTTTCTCCTTAAGCAGAGCAACTAAGGAGAGTGGGTGGATATCACTTTGCATTTTTAATCTTTATTTCCCTGATTACCAGTATCACCGAGCACATTTCATTGACATCTGTCCTCCCCTGCCGGTTGCTTACTGCGTTGCTCTTTTTGTTACAGTGTTACAGGGTTTCTTTGAGTATTTCTGGTGCAAGACCTCTGTCAGATGTAGGTTTTGCCAATATTTTCTGAGCCTGTGGTTTAGCTATGTATCTTGTTAATGGATCATTTGATGAGTAAATCTTTATCATTTTGATGGAGTTGGGCCAGGGATGTAGCTCAGTGGTACCATGCCTGCCTCACAAGTACAAGGTCCTGAGTTTGATCCCTGGTACCACAAAAAAAAGAAATATTTTTTGGAGTTAAAAATCACAAGCTAACTATGATGTTTCGCTTTCTGTGTCCTACCTACCTTAAGTTATGAGCATGCTCTCTTACAATTCTCTCTTAAACCATATGATTTTAGGTTTTTCGATTAGAACTATGATGGATCTCAAGTCACTTTTGTTCATAATGTGAAGCAGTGGAATTAAATTATATTATAGCGTATTGAAATTCACCCATTTGTGGAGACTTTCCTCTCTACATCAGATTGCTTTTAGGACTCCTGACAACTGATGACTGCATAACAGTCACAGTCATATCAGTACTCCCCTATTTGGGTACAGAAATTTTAGGGTAAATATTACTAAAGTTTGGTATTTTAAGTGTTCACATTATTCTTTTTTGCTTACTTGAGATGAGGCCTTGTTATGTCACCCAGACTGGCCTTGAATCCTGGGCTGAAGCGATCCTTCTGCCTCAGCCTTCTGAGTGGTGGCAACTCCAGACACTGGGTCAGCTAACGTGTTTTGTAAAGAGTTTGTTGGGTGTATTGCAGGTGCACTGGGGCCAGGGTTTTTTGCCTGACCACACCACTCCCTAGTGTGCTTGTTCACTAATCTGGGTCTGTGTTGTGTTGCTTGGTTTGTGTCCTGCAGTGCTGGGGGTGGGTCCCAGGGTGTGGTGCGGGCCAGGCAGGAGCTCTCTGCCTAGAGTCTCAGGGAAGCCCAGTGTGCAGGCATGAGTGATGGCATCTCCTGCCCTGGGGACAGGGCTGGCCCCTGAGCTGCCTGTTCTCCCTGGCATCTGCACATGGGCTGTGCTGTTGCCTGGGAAGAACTTCTGTCCCTGGCCACAGCCACTTACCCTGAGGCCGGCTCTGCAGTTCATCTCCTGCGCATCCCCTCCCAGTGGACTCTAAGAGTGCTGCTTTTGTTCTACTGTGACAACGTCCTTGGGGCTGGGGTGAAGCCCAGGCGAGAGCCCTGGCCTAGCTCGAGAGAGGGCAGGTCTTGTCTCAGCACCTCGGGATGCATTCACATGTGTGTGTGTGTGTGTGTGTGTGTGTGTGTGCGCGTGTGTGTGTGTGCATGCATGTGTGTGCGCACACCAGAAGAAAACCCCCATAAGAGCTTCCTCATTTCTTCTCTCTTCTTTGCAAGAAAAGGTCGGAGTCATTTTTACTTGCTCACTTGAACTCATCTTCTTCTTGTGATTCTTATTTTTCTGCGCTGGGATTGAACACAGGGCCTTCCCACCGAGCCACACCCCAGCCCTTTCTTCTGTTTCTTTTAGGAGACTCTTGTTAAATCGCCCAGGCTGGGCCTATTCCTGTGATCCTCCTGTCTCAGCCTCCCCGGTGCTGGGATTACAGGCATGCCCATCACACCTGGCTTCTTCTCGTTAATTCTCAAATCCCCGGCACCACATTTTCCCTGGCAGTCCAGTGTTTTCCTGAGCGTTTCCCAGGCAGGGCTGCTCCTTTTGGCAGAGACACTCTTCCGCTGGGAAGCCTTTTTCTTGCTGAGCTTCCCCCATGCTCTGCTTTCTCAGGAAGGGGAAGTGTTTGGAGAAATTTTGTTAGTTGGTACCTTGAGACCATCAATCAACTCTGGAAGCTTTAATGTTAAGACAGTTGTCCATGTGTTTGGGTTTTAAATATCTTGATATGGAATCACACACACTCAGGTTAAAGGAAATAATGACATCGACATGAATT